AGAGTTAAGAATATGAGAGATCATCGGTGACATTGCAAAATTGGTAATATGGAGGACTGAGAGCAGAATTTTCGCGATTTCTATATGAGGAGAGTCAAGAATATGAGAGGTAATCGGTGACATTGCAAAATTGGTAAAGTGGAGGACTGAGAATTAGGCGATTGAAAGTCCAATTTTCGCGATTTCTATATAAGGTATATAAGGAGAGTTAAGAATATGAGAGATCATCGGTGACATTGTAAAATTGGTAATATGGAGGACTGAGAGCAGAATTTTCGCGATTTCTATATAAGGTATATAAGGAGAGTTAAGAATATGAGAGATTATCGGTGACATTGCAAAATTGGTAAAGTGGAGGACTGAGAATTAGGCGACTGAAAGTCCAATTTTCGCGATTTCTATATGAGGATTCACCCTCACGTTCTCCTTCCACTAGTTTCCTAATATCCAATCACACCTCCGCATTTTTCAACGTCCAACCAATCAGAACATACACCGACCTAATATATACCCACGCACCACCACAAAATAAAGAGTTGAAAAAAGACACTTCACGAGGACAAGTAAAACCAAAAGACACATCTCAAGTACCATTCCTTACCTCCGGAAACGTTCGTAAGGAAAAACACTGTACGATACGCGGTGTCGAAACATCGGAGTGAAGAGTTACGACCTTCACTAACGCACCGTCTTTAGTAAAATAGATCGCGTTGCATCGCGAACTCGTGCAAAAACACCAGGAATCACCTCCTTTCCGTTTGCACCACAATTTTCAGAACACCCTGTATGTTACCTTCGTACTGTTCAAAGGGTTAATGAATTTTAATTTCGTCTGACGTTTGTATTAGGTGTACAAATTAATTCGTGGCCTTTGTTCCGTGGATTTGTGATTTATTTAAAAAAGAACAAAGTACAGTTCAGTCTTGGAAATAATCTCCATCACTTGCTACACGTTTATTCCATTTCTCAGGCAGTTGGCGAATTCCCTTTCGAAAAAATGACGGCGGTTTCGAACGTATAAAATCAGCAATGCTATTATTGACATCTTCGTATGTTTTGAATTTAGAATCGGTTAGACGGTGCTGAAGTGAACGAAAGAGGTAATAGTCTGGGGAATAATTTCCCGTCCCAAAGACCTTTCGCTTCAAGAGCACTTCTTTCAAGTCGAAATGCAAAACAGTGTCTAATATGCTGTGTTCTCCACTGTTTCTTAGGTTACGTCATTAGTCACATCGAGCCCGATAGTGTTTTGCTAGTAGAAGCAAGTTCAGAACTCTAACACAGCGGGGAAAAAGACTCAATTCGAAGTTACAGCTGATCAATCGCAAGGGCCACGAATTCATTTGTACACCTAATAATACACAGAGTGTCTTCTTTTCGTGGGTTGCCGAAGGTGTTACATTCTTTACAACGAAAATTTCTATTAACACGTTGACTGCCATGGGGGTCACCGGTGACCCCCACGGCGCTGCAGCCAAGCCGAGTGCCGGTCACTGGTGACCGGTGACGCATAATAAAAAATTCACGTTGGGCAAACCACGTAAAATGCGCGCGGCAGTCAACGTGTTAAAATCGTCATCCAATAATTCTAATAAACGTCGAAAGAAGCTTTCCCAGAAAATTCCGCGATCTTCACCACGAAAATTCCTGACAAAACGATTTCGAGCGAAACAAAGTTCTCGCTTTGAAACGCAGCCACAGGTGGTCTCAAAAGGGGCAGATGGAAGCGCAAAAAGCGGCTCTCTCTTCTCTCTTGTGGAGAGAACGAGCGTGTTAATCAAATAGGGGCGAGAACGTTCAGACAGAAAGATTAATACAGGCTGGTGTTCGGTTTCGAAATAATTGCAATTGACAGGGAATAAACTGGCGTGATTGGAGGCGCGTCACGACGCGGTGGTAAACCGCGTTCACCAGTGAAATTCCTGTCCGCAGTCGTGATAGCCATCCCCCTGTTCAACGCAAATGTTCCGTGTGTTAACTGCCTCGCGACGGAAGCTGCGTGTTTCCAGCGTTCGATTCGGGCTGTTACCAACAGCGTCAAGTGGACCGTTCAAACGAAGGAATTAAATTGTATCGACGGAGTTTAATCGGCCGTATATGTACATTTGCGGATGAACTGTTGCGTTTCATCATTTTCTGTAATGATTTCGGCGCTTCTTCGTGGCTTTGAGAGTTAAGAATATGAAAGATCATCGGTGACATTGCAAAATTGGTAATATGGAGGACTGAGAGCCGAATTTTCGCGATTTCTATATGAGGAGATTTAAGAATACGAGAGGTAATCGGTGACATTGCAAAATTGGTAAAGTGGAGGACTGAGAGCAGAATTTTCGCGATTTCTATATGAGGAGAGTCAAGAATATGAGAGGTAATGGGTGACATTGCAAAATTGGTAAAGTGGAGGACTGAGAATTAGGCGATCGGAAGTCGAATTTTCGCGATTTCTACATAAGGAGAGATCATCGGTGACATTGCAAAATTGGTAAAGTGGAGGACTGAGAATTAGGCGATTGAAAGTCGAATTTTCGCGATTTCTATATAAGTTATATAAGGAGAGTTAAGAATATGAGAGATCATCGGTGACATTGCAAAATTGGTAATATGGAGGACTGAGAGCCGAATTTTCGCGATTTCTATATGAGGAGTGTTAAAAATATGCAGGATAATCGATAACATTGCAAAATTAATAATACGAAGGACTGAAAATTAGGGGACCGAGAACCGAATTCTCACGATTTCTATGTAAGGGATGTTAGAAATATGAGAGATAATTGGTGAAATGGCAAAATGAAGGACAGTGTCGAATTTTCATTATTTCTGTATAAAAGGTGTGTTAAAAATACGAAAGATAATTGGTAACATTGTAAAATTGGCAAAACGGAGGACTGAAAATTAAACGATCGAATGTCGAATTTTCGCGATTTCGATATGAGGAGTGTTAAAAATATAACAGTGCAAAATTGGCAAAATGGAGGACAGAGAATTAAAAGATTATTACTATTTTTTAATTGACAGACGAATTTCGTTTCGCAAAACTTTTCCAATTTACTTACCGGTACCCCTGGTATATAGGAAAGACACGTCGAGGGTGGAGCAACGAAGAACCGTGGTGGGTGTGAGAGGAAGAATTAACGATGGCAACAATTAATTAATACATTTGCGATAATTAAATGGGGAAATGGTAATGAGGGCCGCAACGAAGCGTTACACCTCGGCGAATATAATTTCCAGCATGAAATAATTGATTGAGAATCGATTAATAACCATGCTAACATGAAATCGAACGCCTGCAGTATGTGCCTGGGAAAAATATCTCCGATAGATGATTTAATTGATGGATACCTATTAAAGTTACAAGCAGCCACCGCCTCTAATATCATTCTCGTCGTGAAATTAATTGATCGGCAATGTAAGTGCATGAATAATTATTACAAGCAAACGTTGCTAATGAAAAATACCAACATATTACGTTCTACGTATTTTTACATTCCTCCATTTTTTCAAAAATATTTTGTATTGTATCAAGTTTCCACTGTAATATTACAGTGTGATCCATAAGTTATTTTACCATTAAAAGATTAAACAACATTTTTCGTTCGTTACGCGTTGCAACATTTTTGTTTCACATTTTAAAAGTTCCTTCTTTGGAAGTTTATCATGCCGAAGCGATTTACGAACGACCCTGTATACTTAACCCACTATACGTTCGTACGTACTACAGCCCTAACTTACCCTCCATTTGGAACACGAAAACTCGTTAATCATACAAAGTACCCGGCAATCAATTCGTTCTTCAATGAACAATCGAGAGCAGCACGCGATTCGCGTTTCGTCCCGCGAAAATTCAACGTTGTCGCGTCGTTAAAAAGGGCGAAAGAAAGAGGAAAAAAAAAACTGGGGCAATTCCTTCGTACGATGTGTACGCAAAAAATGATTGTAAAAACAAACTTTCACGCGCAGCAGCCTCGTCGAAAACGCGAGGAGGCGGATAAAAAATGCAATGTTCGAGATCGACAAGCAATTACGCGGAGAAAAGGTTGAAAGTTGAAATTGAAACGGCCGTTGGGATCGTTAACGAGCCACGATTCTCTTTTTTTTTTGTTTTTCTGTTTCGCAGTTAAACTCCCGGTGGTTTTGTCGACGTTTCGAAATTCGAACGAGCTGCGTTCATACACGACGATAATGCAGCAAACTATCTAACCGTATGGTCTATTGACAGAGGCATGCACGTAGAACGGTCCGATTGGGGCGTAATTGTTTCAGGTTACAAGCCTCCGGAAACAAATCCACAAATCTACCGCAGAGCAGCACGCGCGCCACTGCTCTTCCTTCGTCATTCGCTCGTATTTCGGTTAATGGTATTCCCGTTCGCTACATTATTCTATTTTCCCCGTCGATTCTTTATTTTCTCGTGTAAACCAACACTTGGAAACGCTTGAGATTACGTAAAAGACGCGTATCTGGTCTCGCGACCGCAAAAGAATGAAAAAAAAATTATAGGTTATAATTTTTGTTTCGTACGACCGCGTAACCTCAGTTCCGCGTGTATAGTACTTACTCTCCGCTGCTTCAACTTTAGACGTTGCGTAACGAACAGGACGAACAGCCGGCGAAAACACCGACATATTTCGTAGAACGAGAAAAAAAGAACGAAGAACGAACGCGGTGCAGCTTAAAATACGACGCGTGGACACGGAACCTAAACCTCGCTGTGCTAAGCATGGCTTGTTTACAAGCACGACTTGACCTTAGTTGGAACTACTACGCGAGCCTATTTCCGCGGAAACACGAACTGCCGCGTGATCGAAAAACATTCGCCCCACCCTTCCAACGATTCTCCGAGAAAATAACGTCCTATAATGAAAACACTCGAACGAAACACACATCGTACCACGTAAATACCATCGACACATCGTTCGAGTATAAATAATAAACATCGAAGCTCCTTCGCGTAACCTTATTACTCGTTCCAGGCATATTTGTTATTCGAATCGTCTTACCTTGTTCGCGATGTTCGTTGTCCACTCCCTCTCTTTCCAGCAGGACGACCGGTGTCGATGGAGAGAAGAACACACCTCACATATCACTCACAGGCATCGCGAGAGAACTCGTGAAGCGGTAATCGAGAGAATAACCCGTATGGGGGAAGCGGTTGTTTTCGCAAGGGAGGCAAAACGAGATAATACGGAAGACGCGCAATGGCGCGAGATCGCTTTCGCTACGCGATCCACGCGAGAGAGATGGAGAGAGGCGACTCACGGACACGGCACGCGCACGAATTTGGTCGGATGAAGGAGACCGAAAACGGGGGAAGGAGGTTCTCACGTTTCACGGCACGACTCACGCACAACGGGTCACGAACAACATCTGGCACGATGCTTTTAGCTCGAGGGTTGCCGCGGTACTGCGAAGCACCGCGCCACTCTATGGTCGACCGTGCGCCGCGCAACTACTTCGTCGCTGTCCCGCGCAGCCATTGGCCACTGCGTTCGCGCCGCCTCGCTCTATTGGTCCGTTCGAAGTCGCGCATGCGCAGCGGCCCGCGTTGAAACTTAGCACGTCGCGACACGCAGGGATAAATAATATTTCTGCCTCCTTTTTTTTTTTTCTCAACCAAAAAAACAATGGTTGTATTAACGATTCGTGTTAGCGCATAAAGGATACGCGTTTTTCTTCGCGCAATTTGCACCGGGCCAACGTGTATAAAGGTGGCGTATGCGAAATGAAATTCTATTCTGCGGTAATTGTAAATGTTTCTATAACGACGCGCCGGTACATTTGAGAGTGTAATTTCCCCGACACAATTATAGCAGCAGTTGCCGTCCAACCAGGCTTCACGCCTAACACAGTTACGCCGTTCCTGCGTTCAATTCCACCACTGTCGAATATATTTCACAGGACTAATTCAATGAATTCTAAACCAAATAGAATCGTAACAGTAATATACGTACAGTTGAAAAATATTGCTTTGTCACATCTCGTTACGAATCTGTCTGTAACGTTGTCGCGCGAAAGAAACGTAACGTCCACCCCATAAAAAGTAGACGAGGGATGTCAGAGTGGCCATAGAACGCGTTAATTGTTAATCACGTTTCCCGGTAACAGCACACACACACACACACACAGATTTTGCAAGAAGGAAAAAGGGCAAGAGACAAGTGAGAAAGAGAAGCACACACACACACACACACACAGATTTTGCAAGAAGGAAAAAGGGCAAGAGACAAGTGAGAAAGAGGAAGGTAATTCGACGAAGGTTCGTTCTAATTCGTTTCTCACACTCGTCGTCCAACGGAAATGGCAAGATCGATGTTACACGACCAACGGACTCGTATAACGTGGCGGCGTTGTTTAACGGAACACCGGTTTGCTTCGATCGCCTCTTCCGGAGAGCCACTTAGCCGAAATTACCCGATCCGACATAGATGAGTGGCAAGAAGCAAAGAGGAAGCAGAGGCTGTGAGGGCACGTAATCTTGATTTGCGAGTGCTTCGTGATAGCAATCGTTGATAAGGTATTCTAACGATGATCGAGCCCGGGCAAACCAATTTGCTGTACCGGTTTGCAGCTCTGTCGTAAATATATACCCTGCTTCCAATGGAAAATTCAATATTCCCAATAATATCGAATGGAAGATAAACGAAGACGAAAAGAGGATCCGTTCTTGATCATTTTCCTCGGACAGAGAATTCCTCAGTCTCTCCCTCGAGTTCCTTGATCGACGAGATTAAGTTTGATAGCTTTCTATAGAGACGAAAGTATTCCCGACAAAGAGGACCATTCTCACTTTCGCCAAAGTTACTCGCTCGGAGGAGAATTACAAAGTTAACGTTGGATAACACTTTTCAGCCGTTTTTCAAACGAAAGAAAGAGGCAATAATATAGAATAGAAGATCTTTCCTTCTCGATCATTTTCTCCGGCTCGAGAATTCTTGGTCTCTCCCTGAAGTTCGTTTAATCGACGAGATTAAGTTCGACAGCTTTCCGTAAAGACGAAAGTATTCTCTACAAAGAGGACCGTTTTCACTTTCGCCAAAGTTACTCGCTCGGAGGAGAATTGCAAAGTTAGCGTAGGATAACGCTTGTCGGCCGTTTTTCCAAACGAAAGGAAGAGGCAACAGGAGCGGTTGGAACAATTCACGTGACTTTGGACCGTGTGGACACACTTGGCCAGCAGCCTAAGCCAAACTTTTTCGTTCTGCGATACCACTCTTCCCTCTTTTCTGTTCCCTTTTCCCCCAAACGAGAATCAACCATTCGAGCCAGCCTCGTTAATTCTTTTCTCTTCCCCTGTTCTCGTCGCCGGGAAAAACTTGTATCCCTGGCTGTTCCTTCTGCTCCGCGTGCACCCTCTCATTTTTCATTCGTCGCGCGGAGAAAAGTGCACTTTAGCCGTGTCACCTGTAGACAAAGATACAAAGGAATATATTCCGTGCGTCTGCGAGGTATCACGTAGCTGAAAAAAAATCATACGGTGCCATGGGTGCATGTCATTGCTCGCGGATCCGTGTTTGTACCTCATGTCCGAACACGTGGGACGTTTTATCCGTTTGTAGAAAAGTGCACGAATTGATGCTCTTACTTGTGTAAAAATTTCTCAATAATTTGTTAGCTGTGTGCACCGAGAAGAAGAAGAAGAAGGAGGAGGGGGGAGTAAGAGAGGTAGAAGATTCGAACAGATTTCGTTTCTGTTTCTCACAATATCAGAGCTTATGCTCGGAACGTGCATACAACAGTTACCATTCTCTGGTTGCCACGTTTCATCGATCGTTCATCCTTGGTTCTTGCACGCAAACCGTAAAATAGGGATTTAAATCGGTGCTTACCATTTGCCTTCTCGTACACCGGCAAAAATCCTCTTTGCCGTTTCAGCGAGTCAGCCCGTTCGCTTTCTGCACGAGATCTGGAAAAGCGCGGAGGAGAAAAAGGGCCGGGAGAATTTCCTTTAAGAGTTTCTACTGCGTGAAGGTAAACAACACTTTGGCGGTTCCTACGTTGGTAATTCCGGAAACGATAATACGCGGAGAAAACGCTGAGCACGGTGTAAGTACTAATGAGATCCGAGGAAATATAATTATTTGAAGGAGACCTATTCTCTCTCCCTTTCTTTCTTTTTCCTCGAGCTTTGTGCGCGTTGAATTGCACGCGCGAGGGCTCGATATACGTAGAGAGAGAGAGAGAGAGAGAGAGAGAGAGAGAGAGAGAGAGAGAACAGAGGCACTGTTCTAATTATTTACAAACGCGTCTCGTTCGGTGGCAATCTGCGTGTGTAATTAAACGCGGCGACGCTCAATGTATAAACTCGTTCGCGGCTCGATTTAATTGAGGAACGAAACCAGGAATACTTCCACCCGTTTCTTCCGGTGCAACATGACCGCCGCTCGACAATTCTCAATGGATTAAATGCATTAATCGAGCCCGGCCTTTCTTCCAGCTTCGACAAAGACGCTTTCCCAGGGAGGATTTACCTTCAAGAGGTTCAATGAAAACGGCTCGTTTACTCGCTCGTTTTATTTTCAACGAACGTAGAGAGAACCTGTCGACCGTTCGTTTTTTCAATGGTTTTGTGTAAATTCGGGGGTGACACGACTAACGAAAGCAAGTTTTTCTAGGAATTGTGCGAAGTTGTTAATTAATCGAGTATTTAGGGATGAGAATATTTTTTCCCCATTTTTTCAGGGCCTCTAATAAGGGATTGTTTACGTGTACTGCTTGCTATTTTTGAAAATGATCGAAATAGCACAAGTTTGAAATGTAATATTAGTATTGTTAGACGGTATAATTTTAGTTATCATTTTCGTGACGCTCTTACGAATAAAAATAGTTATCTTTTGGGAATATCTCAAAATTTACGATTTTTCATTATTTATCATTTGCAAAAATAGCTACTTCCAGAGTCATCTTCCGCAAATATCTCAAAATTAACGATTTCTCATTATTTAGCTTTTTCATTGTTTATCGTTTCAAAAAATAGCTCACTATCAGCAATCTTCCGCAAATATCTCAAAATTAACAGTTTCTCATTATTTATCATTTTCAGAAACAGCTATAATACTTTTGGAGTTATCTTCCGCAAATATCAGAAAATTTACGATTTTTCATTACTTATCATTCCCAAAAATAGCTCGCTTCCAGAGTCATCGTCCGCAAATATCTCAAAATTAACGATTTTCCATTATTTATCATTTCCAAAGATAGCTCACTTTCAGAGTTATCTTTTCACCAATCCATCACTCCCAAACGAAACGATACTCTTTATCAATCCTCGTTTTCATCACTAATTCCTCCACTATTCCCCATAAATTAAGACGAATCAAACCACACTCGGAGCACGGCTATTTATTCGAAAAAATAGCGTATCACTTCGCGGTATACCCTCTAGGATTATTCAGAGACAGATTGCTCGAGGCTTAGGGCAAACTTTATCACCCGGCTAGATGATAGGCGGCTCGTCGAATTCTGTACGAGTGATGGATCATCGGTGGGGAAATTCATCTTGAGCGAGTATCTCGCGGCACGCGATGAATTATCGATACACTCGCAAGTATCTCACAGGCTGTTCGCTCGTTCGGTGATAGATGAACGTTATTCTCGAAAACTCGATCGAGACAGCCGATAACGTAACTCACTCCTCGCCAATTCACTCTACACTTCTATTCTTCGATTGTTCCAAACCCATTTCCATCTTTGATCTTCCACAGAGATCCTACAATTTACAGTTTGCCCTTCAAAATCCAACATCAGATCGCAACATTCTCTCTCGTTAAAATTAGTCCAGATTAGGCCAAAGTCGAACACTATCGACGCTAGTTCGATTCTTCGTGAGAAAAAAGGAGGAGAGAGATAAGTGAGAGGAAAATTTGCAGACGGAAGAATATCGATTCCTCGAGCGTTTCGCGGGGAATTAAAACGTTTCATTGTTTCCGCGGAATCCCAGGGTGCTTGTTCTGCGGCGGGGAACGCGTGCGTTACGGATATCGAGCCGCAAATCGCCTTTCGCGAAGCTTCCCCCGGGGAGCCGCACGTTATAACCGGAATAGAAAGGAAGTTCGGAGTCCTGACTCCTAGGTGAAGCGGCAGAAACTCTGAGAGGGCAACGAGCGACTGTTATTCCTGCTATCACGCGTGGAATCGC